CAGATACAAAAGAAAAAGAGCCCTAAATAAAAGTAAACGAGATAAAACTAAAATCCAAGAATTTCTAGACCTACGCCATCAAACTCAACAAGCCATCAAATCCGCCAGGAAACAAAATTGGGAAACATTCTGTTCTACTCTAAAAATTTCTAAAAACAACTTGCATACCATTTGGAACAAACTTAAGGCAATAAAAGGGGTCAGGAAAAAGACCTATAATCCAAATTTCCAAAACATCAATAGTAATAAGGATAAAGCCAATCACATGGCCAATCATTTTGCAAAAGCCAGCAGTTCCGCCAATTAAAATAATCACCGGAACCAGGACTGGTACCCCCCCTACTACACTCCTACTAATGACCAACACTCTCTCCATCACACATAGGATCCACCAAACCATACTCAATTACTGGGCTGGGGCCCAACACAACCCTATCTCCAACACAATCAAAAACCAATATGCCGACATCACCAAATACATAACCCTTAAATTCAAACAACACCCTAACATAGCGCCGTACATGTACCACCTTAATCACCTAACCCAGACTCACAACCTCAACACAATCACTCACCCCCATCCCCTCATTACATCATTGACCTACCCACCCCCGAAGTAGACACCTCCTTACACGCACTTTTCCAATCCCAGCCAAAACTCCCCACACATGAAAAAACAAAGCTAGCACTCGCCCAAATACAAAGGGACTGGCCCTCACACACACACATATATACTGACGCATCACAAAATACTAATCATGTCTCAGGGATAGGCCTACATATAGACCTTATCCCACCTATCTCTACTAACTTTCACTATCTCAACCACTCCAACAACAATACTGCCGAACTACTTGCTATTCTCACAGCTATCCACTCTACCAAAACAATAAACAAAAACAACTTCTTAATCATAACGGACTCCCTGAGCGCACTCAACCAGATCAAAAACAAACATTCCAAAACCCGACCCGATCTCATCAACAACATCATACATCTCACCCACAACTTAGCTACCCATAATAAACATATACAATTTCTCTGGTCCCCGGGGCACTCAAACACACCCGGCAACCTTATAGCACACTCTCTAGCAAAAACTGCTACCACAAAGCCATCACTCCAAATCTACTTCCACACATCTAAAACAGAAGTTAAAAATCTATACAAGAAAAGCATTAATTCCCATAACCACAGCCAACTCTTGCAACTCTCCAACTCCCCCTGGATTAAAAATGTGTACTCTAAGCCCAACACTAAAAGTCGCAACTATAGTCCCTACCCGCAACTAGAATCATAAGCGGCACATACAACCTAAACTCCAACCTACACAGACAAAATAGACACCCTGACGGCAACTGCTCAAACTGCAATACACCTGAGGACCTACAACATATCATAAACAAATGCCCAACATACGCATCCCAGCGCTCCCAACTCTACCATTCCCTTCCCCCCTCCCTCCATACAAACCTGGACAAACTCTTCTCCCCCCTCAATGCCCAACCCATCTATAATGCCATTGCCACTTTCATCACCAACAGCAAGTTAACAGCACGATTCTAACCCAAATACATAGTTCATCCCCCATTCGCCAAATCTCCCCAACCATCTCACTCAATAACCAAAACGGATCGAGATCCAAATCCAAGCAGAATTTCACTTCTCCGACGTCCGCGCCCTAAGCTCGGTTAACCATAACATCTTACTAGAACACCACACGCTCCAACACACGAATAACCAAGTTCGCCAACTCTTCCCCCCCCCCCCCCCCCCACCCCACAACCACCACTAAGTAGTCTTAACCCCTTTTTCCTTTTTTATTATTACTTTGAGTTAGGGTAATAAAGCAGTTAAGCTGCTGAAGTACTAACTCGTCATAGGTTTTCCCCCCTCCCAACTTACAGTCTTTTGGGTATGGTGTTTACTTATTTCTCTCATTATTCATCGTTTATTAATTAACCCCACCTACCCCGTACGCGAAATGCAGTAAATGCGAAGCGGACGTTAAACCATTAAAGAACGAACGAACCACACACGTCGCCATAGTTTGTTTACTTCCGGTATGACCGGTCGCCATTTTCGCTCGGTCAATCTAACACAGTTTAACCAAACCTAATCCTGGGATTACGAACAATTCATCTATATCTGTGGGATATCGAACTCAGAGCACATCTACCTCTGCCCAGACACCGATACACGGCCCATCGGCCGTATGGCCAAGAGACTACAAGTCTACTAGCCCCGTCTTTCCATCTCTCATTATCGCTGCTAAGTATTCATTCCTTTTTCCCTCCACCCTCTTACTTGCATGCTTATTTACCCCCAAAGTTCTCTTGTTTATTGTTTGCTTGTATATTTGTGTTACCCATACTGTACTACATTCTACTCTCACGTAATGAAAACGCCGATAAAGCAGCTAAACTATCCCTCAAAATCCCAGAAATAAGCTTAAACTTACCCATCTCAAAATCAGAAATTAAAAGTGTAAACAAGCAAAAAATCCACACAAAAATGGCATAACCTATATCTAAACTCAAATAGCCAAATCAAAAAAGTGCTCAGCAAACCACTAATCAAACCAAAAATTCTCCATCCATCCAAAAAAATCGACAGAGTAATCACGAAACTCCAAACAGGACACACCAACCTAAATAACCACCTAAATTTTTTTTAAAAACACACTACAGGTAACTGCCCACACTGCAAACAACCAGAAACCCCAGAACACGCACTCATCCACTGCACACACTACCTAACACATCGAACTGCATTACAAACCACCCTCAATCTAAACAAGGCTCTAACTCTAGAAGCAATACTAAACCCACAAAATAAACTAGAAAACTTCAAGGCCTTAGGCGTATTCTTAATAAAAACGGAACTAATAAAACGCATCTAAAAACACAATAACCTACCAAATCAAAATCACATATACAAACAAACATCCACCATACCCAGCTCCCTTAGTTCTCCTCCCAAATCCAATCGGCATCTATTCCAAATCTCAAAATTCCCAAATTCTATATAAGCAACCCCTAAAATCCCCCTCTTGGGTTGCACAGACCACTTTCGCCCCTCTCGGAAACACATTAAATGGCCTGGCCGGGCCCGTGTGCGAAATACGCATCAGTCGGAAAGCGCACGTTCCACACGTGCATTGGCTACCCGGAGAGGATTCATACCCCCATCAGGCGGAATAATATATCAAGCTACCATTATTAGCAAATCGTTGTGCTTCAATTGATCTAGATTCACTGACCTACCTGGCTAGTTACCTGCCAACAAAGGGATTCGGCAATCGGATACCCAAGCCGGCCGGCTGGCCGCCATTATTCGAACCGTCACCCCCCGAGCGCTACCCCCAGGACTCGCCATCTGGCATAGATAAGTCTCCATACCTAATCCCTTATTCCCTGTAAATACGTTATTTCCATTTATATCAACCCCATTTTTTTGTTACCTTTCCATGCATTATTGCCATTATTCTATGTCATGTAAATACTTGTACATAGTTGTTTTTTGTCTCACCATTACCATTGTATATCCAATCCCCCCCCCCCCCCCCCCCCCAATACATTTACTGCCACGCCTTTGAACATAAATCCTCTGATTGCAAAAAATCCCCCCTTTGCCCTAAATGTGGTTCCGAAAACCACGGCATACAAGAATGCTCGTGGTTCCCCTACTGCGTAAATTGCAATGCTGAAGGACATACTTCCAATCAAAACACCTGCCCCACCAAACAAAAATACATTCTAAAACTTAACTCATGCAGTACTACCCGGACGACCCTGAGGACTCTCCATACCCCTACTCCGAACAATCCCTTAACTCAACTATCAATTCAATCTCTACCAAAAATCCTTCGCAACCCTTCAGACCACCTACCTTAAAATTAAACGCTAACACCCCCGGCACACTAACCAGGCCCACTAACAAACCCCCCTAGTCTAGCCCCCATCCCCCCAACTCGAAATCAGTAATGTCCTTTATACAATGGAACTGTAACGGTCTCCGACCCAACGGACATGAACTAAAAGCTCTCATAATTAACCGGAAAATCCAACCCGATATCATATCTCTTCAGGAAACCCTCCTCTCCCCTAGACACTCTTTTACTATTCCCGGTTTTCAATTCTTACGTAAAGATAGGCCCAATACCCAAAATAGACCCGGCCCTCCCCACGGGGGGTTGGGCCTCTACATCGCTGATTCCCTCCACTATAAAACCATTCCCATCCCAACTCCCAATCTTGAAACCCTTGCCATCGACACCAACATCAATAACATCAAGCTAAGAATCATTAACATTTACCACACCAAAACCCAACCCTTCAATCAAGAAGACCTTAATGTCCTAAGTAACCACCTTACCACTAATACACTAATACTAGGAGATTTTAACGCTCACCACCCCCTCTGGGGAACTAAAAAATAAAAATAACTCACACCCAAGCCCACTTAAAATACCAACCCTCAAATCTCTTCGCTAGAACAAACAAACTCACCAAACCAACCCAAAAATAGCGTAGAAACCAGTTAAACACCACTCACCCAGTCACCCACTCTACACACAAACCCCTCTCTTAAGCTCAGCTCACTCTCCTCCCCCCAAACAAAACTTTAACGCTGCACTCAGCAATATGCCAGCTTTTTGACGGCGGTCTGTAAATAATCAAGTCTGGACCAGACAATCCAGTGATTAATATAATGAGCATCGATCCACGCAATTGGGATCGATGACATGCATCAACCAAGTCAGCGAGCCTGACCAACCGATCCCGTTAGTCGCCTTTTATGACAGGCAATAGACACAAGTTATTAATACATACATGTCCATATTACTTGTACTTAAACAAGAACTTAAGACATACATAATCTGCAAAACAAGACCTGCAAGTAAAAATGTTCAGTCACACATTTGAAAGTGTTCATTCAGATGTGTATACTAATTATCAAATTCATTAAATAATCTTGTGGAAATTACTGCAATGTGAATGTTACTTCTGCTTGTAGCAGCCTTCAAGAACATATGGATCAACAAGAAAGACGACTACACCCGCAGCATCACCGGAAAGAAAGCAGACCACAGACGAGCAGCCAGGAGGAACAAGAGAAGAACAGCAGTAAGTGATAATTTGCCATGTAAATATCAGTAGGTTTCTTTTGCTATTTGTAATGCAGGATAAGTATACAAATGTAAACAAATAGTTAGATTTTACTAAGTTTCTTTGTTGGAACATAAATCATTCTTCCCTATTAAGATTAGATAAAAATCTAAGAATGTTTCGTATAAATTATTGATAACTGCAACTGCAAGCAGAAAGAACATAAATCAATACTGGCTGATTTACCTTACAGCTGTTTACCTTACATTACAGAAACAGTAACTCATAAGTGAAATAATTAAGTCGTTGCATACCAATGGCAACAATCAGTTTTCATTAATTCTGCAGAAACTGAAGTCCCGCCAGAACTCACTGGACCAGTGCCCCAAGCCAGCAGCCTGGAAGGAACGCGTACAAGATGTCCTCACCCGGGAGTGTACCTCTCCAGATGTAAGCGACGATGACCAGCCTGGGATGAGATGGGTTCACGAAATACCGTGGGAGTCCACACAGATGGTGGACATAAAGAAGTATTTAGACGAACGGACCGAGGCTGCTCTGAAGCATGTGAGGAGACCACCCAAGGCCAAGCTGGAGTACGACCCGATGAGGAGCTGTGAGGAGCCCATGCCGAAGAAGTTGCCGTCATGGGCCATTCGATCCACGCATGTGAGAGATGGTAAATGTCAAACGCTCTTTTTTAGACTTGTCTGTAGTTTATGAATGTGGGACAAAAACGTAAATTTTAAAATTCACATTTGGATTAACAAAACGGTGACCTTTCATTTTGTGACCAGCCATTTTGATATTCTTGGGGTGGAGCTGGGATTTTGTGTGATAACCAGTTATTTTTTAATTAACACTATAAGCCTGCATATCTCTTTTAGAAAATCTGTCAGCAACAATGTAAATTGTGTTGCAGAACATTCCCCTTTTTTAACAGTCTGTAGCTTAATTAGTTTTTCCATAAAATCCGACACCCCTAACATGCGTTTGATCGATAGTTTTCTTGGTAAATGAAAGCCCATATGTAATTATGCATCTGTTGATGATTGAGACCATGGGTTGAAATGTGGCTTTTACTCAGATTTCGGCAGTATTGCAGATATCTTGAGAGGGGTACATCAGTAACAGATCTCTTGCATTGTACTTATGTGAGCAAAGCTTAATCACATTAGACATGGTTCTGTCTTCTTTGCCTCGGAGTATCAAAATGAGCATTCAATGTGGAGGTTTTGTTATTTCCAGCCTTGCTTGAGTCCAGCCCCAGTCAGCCTACACCAAACAGGACAAGCGAACAGTAGGTTGTCAGTATAGAGATCAGGTAATTAGTATTTTCAGGGTTTTATCTTGGTTTGAGGTGGGTCTTTGTTAAGGGTATACATGGCAAAAGTACGGATATATTCCGAAAATTGAATCAAAATATTATTAATTCAAATTGTTGTACACGTTAGTCTTGCTCGGAATGTTACAAATATTTAACACTAAAATGCAATCATTTTGTTCTTGCAAAAAGTTGCCGGTCACAGGCACTTACTCGTTAGTTCCTGAGATAAACCCTGATTATATTTATTTAGCACTATTTGCATTATCATTTGGGGACTAACACACCTTTTTAGCATCATTTGTTCTCACATCTCAATTGTCATGTTGATAATGTATTGCCAACTGCAGTCTACAGTAAGAACACTAATGGGGATTCCATGTAAGAATATAGATCCCCTGCAAGTTGGCAGCACCCCATGGTTGCTGTAGGAGGTAATTAATTGGGTGGTTTTTGGTGTCGGTGACTTAATTACATGTCATTACATGTGCCATGGATTGATGCTCATGATGTCAATCATTTGATTGTCTGGTCTAGACTTGATTTCTTTACAAAACGCCATCATGTTTTGTAATTGAATGTTGCTAACACCCAGCTAACACCCAGCTAACGCCACACCCAGCATGATGTCATCATGAGCATTGATCTACGCAATTGGTATACAACATGCATCAACCAAGTCAGCTTGTCTGACCACCCCATCCCTTAAGTCGCCCCTTGCGACAAGCATAGTCGCCTAAACTACAGCAAAAACATGTTTATTCATCATTAGAACCTAGTTACGAGTAACCATGACACAGATTGAGATATGTTAAGGTGGGGCTTCACTGTATTGGGCTAGATGTAAACTTGTAATATTATGGAGCAAATGAAATAACACTGCATTGTTGAGATCATTTCATATTTCCTCCTACTTTGAGTGAGTATGGTTTTAGGGCGCCTTTAGCAGTATTTCATCATCGGAAAATGCACTTCACACTTTGAACCCATGTGGGGAATCGTACCCATGGCTTTGGTGCGACAGGCCAACGCATTAACTACTTTGCTCTTTCATTGACAACTGATGTAGCCGTTACAAGACAGGAAAGTTTCTATTGAGTAAACAGAAAGAAATTGTTACCTTCAGATAAATTTATTTGTGCTACAAATTCAGATTTTCTGTCTGAGAAATTGTTGAAATGCCTCAATTAAATGGTTTTCAAGATTTAATCAGACAAAAAATCAGAAAGATTGTCATTTATTGTATCATTATGTTTGTTATCATTGATTATGATAATACATAATGATATTTCAAATGTCATCCTACCTGATTCCATTTTGGATTTCAGTCAAGTGTAGGCCCTCATTATCACAGTAGGGTGTGAGCCCCAACATGAGATAAGGGTGTGTGACGAGGCCACACATTAACCACTAGACTACCCCACCGCCCAATCTTACTTTGACAACTTGTCAACTGATGTAGTTTCAAAACAGGAACAGTTTCTATTGAGTATACTCAGAGAAATCCTTACCTCAGATGAGATTACTTTGTGATACAAATTAAGACTAAAGATTTTTTGTCTGTTGAAATACCTTTTTCAAGTTTGAATCACAGACAAAAAATCTGATACATTTATTGTATCATTGTACATTTATGTTTGTTATCAATGATTTTGCTAATACAATGATATTTGGTATGATTGTGGGTTCGAATCCTGGTTCTAGGTTTGTCAGCACCATACCCGTGCTCGTGGGTTTCACCGAAGTGGTAAACGTCTGAGACCTGCATCACTTCGAGCTTTCCTCCCACATAAGCTGATACGTCACGATATTACTGGAATACTATTAAAAGCGGCATTAAACCCAACTCACTCACTGTATTTGTCTGATCAAGGATAAGTTATTTTCAGGTCACTGTAATGTAACTGGTATATTGCTTAGTGTGTTTTTCTTATTTTGCATTCTCTCTCTCTCTCTCTCACTCTATTTTGTTTGATACTAACTAGTTTTCTTCATAATGCACATTAGAATAGCATTTGATTTGCATTTTAATTTATTTATCCAATTTTATCAATTAAGTCTCAGGGATTCAAGGTTTGCATAGGTCTTCAGTACCTTATGTTTGCCTATAATGCTTCTAAATGGATTGGGTGGTCAATAGCAATGATTTTGTAGATGGTGTGACAATGTACCATGGTGGTGTACGACATTACATCTATCACTGGTTTCTCTGGTGTAGACTCACTACTGTACAGGTCACTGCCATGTAGCTGGAATATTGCTGAGTGTCATTGAGCATTCACTCACTCATTTTCCTTTCGTACTCATAAGTATTTCTCACATTGCACACTAGAATAGCATTTGCATTATTTGTTGAGTTGTTTAATTTTAATGTGTCCTTGCACATTATATCACTGGATTGTCTGGCTTTGCTTCGATTATTTACATACCAACATAATTTAGCTGGAATATTGCTGAGCTGATTTACAAAAACTGACAAATCAAACCTTCATGAGAACACAATTTGTCATCTTCCTAGAGAAGCCATTGTGTATAGTTGATTATGAATAGTACTTATTTATTTATTATCCTATTTATTTCATGCATATAACCAACCAATTTCTTTTCAGTACAATAGTGCAATAACTGTCTATGTGGATGTCTTTTTCTTGTGAAGTGTGAGTGAATGTGCTTGAGTGCTATTTATGTTGTGAACATGATAACTATGATCAACTACTGTGTTTATATAGTATGGCATTATTTATTCAATTTCACCCAGACCAATCTAATAACTTTTAACATTGTCGTAAGAGGCGACTAACAAGATCAGGTGGTCAGGCTCGCTGACCTGGTTGATGCCAATTGCATTGGTCGATGCTCATGATGTCAATCACTGGATTGTCTGGTCCAGACTCGGTTATTTACAGACCGCCGTGCTATAGCTGGAATAGTGGTGGGTGCGGGGTAAGAAATTACAAATAGGTTGTGAGTATGTGAACTTGTGCGTGCTTGTTATTTATTGTGTCAGTTAATGGAAGTCATAGTTCACCATGGCTATTTGTCACTATCATGTGAATACTGTAAACTCTGTGATATGTACATACAAAATATAATAACTAATAAATGATCTTAAGCATTGTTTGTTTGTTGTCCCTTTTTATCATGTAGTATATTTTGTTTTCTACCATCATTACTGAATGTTCAAGTGAGTTAAGGTATGACATGTGGTTTGTCAACTTGTAAAATTGATAAAAGTTGTATTAAACACATTGTATTCAAAGAACCACAAGAACTGATACGTTGGAAGGCACAGCAGTACAAACTTGTGAATGAATACTCAGGTGTCGTTTTAGTTTCATGATTATTTTTCATGAAATCATTGACACTGGCTCAATACATTAATGCCATACTAAGTCAAACAAATCATTTTACTGCCTTTTGGTATAAAAATAATATCTCACAACCACACTTACCTTGGCTGATGATTAATATTCCTTTACTTCCTGGCTGTACTCTATGTGTATTTCATATATTTGATACAGTCATTTCTGCATCTAGCACTGCTTTGCCAACTTAACTGGCACTAGACTACCCTGGGTACACAGATGTTAGAATGTTGTAATAAGCATTAACCTCAATGGAAATAAGTGCTTACTTAAACTACATAAATATTACATACAATCCAGCAGTTCTCCCAGATAAATATGTTAAGCAGCTTAAGTCTATTGAGGTTGTGTAAACATCACACTTCCGGAGAATGTTTTTGGAGAACATGTTAGTATTGCTGTCAAAACAATTACCTGTTGCAAGCTTGGCATCAACGGTTTGGGTGATATTTAAGTGACTGTCATCTTTGAGACCAAAGCTTTCAACAGAGCTAAACGAGACCCCTCTCATCTCAAAACAGCTCATGAACTAAACCACCAAGTCCAAAACCTAGTTAAAACTGCTAACACCAAAAACTGGAAAAAATTCTGTGAGGAGCTAAACCGACGCTAGGAAGGTGTGGCGCAAAATTCACGCCATCCGAGGCATCAAACGGCACAAAAAAGCCCCAATATAAACAACTCAACTAACCACACCCAAAAGGCCAACAACCTAGCCAAACACTTCTCTAAATTTAGTAGCAACAGTAACTTCAGTAAGAAATTCCAAGATAAACTAAATAAAGAAATAAAATTCTCCAAAGAAATCAGACAAGACAACCTAGAAATAAATCAACCTTACACCATAGAAGAACTAAATCACGTACTAAACAATAGAAAAAAAGGAACAGCCCCTGGCCTGGACCTCACCTCTTACCAAATAATCAAACACTTACCTACCAAACTACTCCAAACTTTACTTAAACTATACAACCTAGTTTACCTAAACGGACAGGTCCCATCCTCATGGAAGGAAGCTCTAGTAATCCCAATACCTAAACCAAATAAACCAGCAGATCAGGCAAACTCCTATAGGCCCATATCCCTAACCTCAAATCTCTGCAAAATAATGGAACTTATGACTAAAAATAGGCTACAGCACTACCTAGACCAAAACAACATCATAAACCCCGACCAAAGCGGCTTCACTCCTGGCCGATCAACTCTCGATAACCTTGCCCCACTAGAACAGGATATAAAAACAGGACAGCTAAACAAGCAATACACCATAGGCATATTCCTCGACTTCTCTAAAGCTTTCGATATGGTATGGCACCACGGGCTAATACAAAAACTAAAAAAAATAGGACTAAAAGGCCAAATAATAAACTTCATCCAAGATTTCCTAAACAATCGCAAAATTACCGTTGGTATAGACCATACGCTATCGGACCAGTGTCCCCTAGAAAATGGCACTCCCCAGGGCAGCATTCTCAGCCCAACCCTCTTCAATATAATGATAAATGATCTATTCGAGGGCTTATCCCCTAAACTAAACACTTCAAAATTCGCGGATGATGGAGCCCTATGGATCCGCACTAAAAGCAATAAAATGGCAGAAAACTTAATCCAAAAATCTCTAAATAAAATACAACAATGGGCAGACAAATGGGGCTTCTCCCTTAACTCAGATAAAACAACAGGAGTAGTATTCAAACATAAAAACATGAAACCTGCCTACCCAATCCTCCAGCTAAACAACCAAACAATCAAATTCCAAAAACAAACCAAATTCTTAGGACTTATTTTCGATCAACACCTCACCTGGGAGGCTCACGTCCAAAACCTAAAAACTAGATGCAGCAAAGACCTTAACACATTAAGATGTCTCACCGGCTCTAACTGGGGAGCCTCCAAAGATACCCTCCTCTCACTATATACAACACTAATTAGATCAAAACTAGACTACGGCTGCGCCATATACAATACCCTAAACAACTCTCTAACTAAAAAACTTGACTCAATACAATACCAAGCCCTTAAACTAATTACACGCACCCAACATGGCACCTCCTACACCTCACTTCAGGCCCTTACAGGAGAAATGCCACTAAATCTACGCAGGGAACATCTAAGCCTTAATTTCTGGGCCGCGTCCCAAACAAACCCTCTCATCCAAAACCTAATTAACCAAAACATTAGCCCAAGAAACCAAGCTCTAGCTCGCAAACACCCCTTACTCACCCCAATATCCCAAAGAATAACTAACTACCTCAATGAACACCAAACTCAAAATCTTAAACAAAACTGCAAAAAATCAAATATCTTCACCCCTAAACTCAAAATACCCCAAATAGACACAACGCTAACTAACCAAATAAATAAACAA